TCCCCCCGGGCCGCCCGGGGCCGGAGGCAGCAGCGCGGGCGCGTGGTCGTTCTCGTCCAGCACGAACACCTGCAGCGTCACGGTGCTGCCCAGAGGAGGCTCGCCCGCGTCGCGCGCGCTCACCTGGAACTGCAGCAGCTCCAGCTCCTCGCGGTCCAGCGGCTGCAGCGCGGACACCTGGCCGCTCTCCGCGTGCACCGACACGTAGCTCGACAGCGCGCGCTCGCCCACCCGCCGCTCCACCAGCGAGTAGGACACCCGCGCGTTCTCCTGCGCGTCCGCGTCCCGCGCCGACACCGTGAAGATGTGGCCGCCGGGCGGGTTGTTCTCCTTCACGAACACCGTGTACTCGGGCTGCGCGAACAGCGGCGCGTTGTCGTTCACGTCGGCCACCTCCACGGACACGCTGGCTGTGGCCGACAGAGAAGGCGAACCCTGGTCCCGCGCTGTCACCACCAACTCGTAGTGTGACACCTTCTCCCGGTCCAGGGCGCTGTCCAGCACTAGTGAGTAGTAGTTCTTGAAGGTGGACATGATCTTGAAGGGAACTTCGGGCGTTAGAGAACAGATCACCTGTCCGTTCGCACCAGAATCGCGGTCGGATACACTAATTAACGCAATGACGGTGCCAGGCTGAGTGGCCTCCGGTACTGGGAGAGACAGGGAAGTCACGGTGATCTCAGGCGCATTATCATTGGCATCTAAGATTTCTACCCAGACCGTACAGTGACCTGCCATTGGAGGATTTCCCTTATCTGTGGCCTGTACTTCAATTTCATAAAACTTGTTTGTTTCATAGTCTAAAGTTCCATTGACCCTCACCTCTCCGCTATTCTTACCTATTGTGAAGAAGGGCTTTCCATTGGGCCTAATGGACGACAAGGAGTATGTGACCTCCCCATTGGCGCCTTCATCTAGATCTGTAGCGTTCAATTTTATCACAAACGTTTCTTTGGCTGCATTTTCCATTAATCTCACCTTGTATTCTGGTTGTTCAAATTCTGGATCATTGTCGTTAATATCCAAGATGCAGATGAAAAGCTGAGCCGTGCCAGTTAGCTCCGGCTTTCCCTGGTCTGCAGCCGTCAGTAGCAAACTAATTTCCGGAGTTTTCTCCCGATCCAGAGGTTTCTTTAGTGTAAGTGATAGTCTATTAGTCTGCTTACTATTTCTTGGTAATTCTAAAGAAAAATATTCATTTTGACTTAGTCTGTAAGTCAATAGAGCATTCTCTCCTGTATCCGCATCAGAGGCGCCCTCTAGAGGAAAATGAGAGTCAGGTGGCTTCGATTCCGGAATCAGCAGCTTTTGTTCTCTGAGAGAGAACACCGGCGGGTTGTCGTTAATGTCCTTCACCTCCACCTCCACGTGGAACACCTGCAGCGGCCGCTCCACCACCACCTCCAGGTGGATGCTGCACTCCGCGCTCCGCCCGCACAGCTCCTCGCGGTCGATCCGAGAATTCACAAACAAAATGCCATTCTGCAGATTTACCTCCAGGAGGTCCCCGCGGCCCTTGGACGCCACCCGGAACAGGCGCGGCACCAGCTCCGCCAGCTCCAGCCCCAGGTCCTGCGCGATGCGGCCCACGAAGGTGCCGTGCTTGGCCTCCTCGGGGACCGCGTAGTGGACCTGGCCGCTCCCGGCCTCCCAGAGCGCGAATAGCAGAAGCGACAGCAGCAGTTGCTGAGTGTCCAGTCCCCCTCTTTGAACCCCAAACATTGCACACGACATTAACTTGCAAAAAATGATTCTTTACACTTACAGTACCAGAGACTCCAGTTTCGGGTTTAAAATCTCGCTGAATTTTTTAGAAGCTTCATAGGATCCGTTAACAGTCGCGACCGGCTTGATGGAGTCGTTTTATATGGGGAGTTCCTGGATGGTCAGACCAACCCTTGAATGAACTATTTTCATCAAGGAAAGAGCGACACCTTGTGCCTGAAATTGTGAGTATTGTGCACTACACCCAATATCGCAGAATTTCACTTAAAGAAAAAAAATAATTTCTCATGTTTCCTGATATTTTAACCCCAAGGTATTATTTTCAAAGTACTTATTTACGGAATATTCAGATTTTAAGCCATATTAAAATTGATAGTAGGTGGGAAATGGCATTTTAGTATTGACTAACATCAAATTTAAATTCTTGTTCCTATGTTTGATTTAAAGTTATAAAATTATTCTTTTACTCATCTACATCTATACAGAGAGATCGATTCTAAGAATAACTGTATAAAACTATGGTTAAACACTTCCTATGGGTATTGTTCCTCATACAAATATTATCAAATTTGAATTGTTTTACTTCTAGTCTCCCTTGTTACTTTGACTGCTAGGAAACTCAAGGACAAAATTAAAGTTTTAATAAAAACTATTTATTCTTAAATCCTGCATATTGTGTTCCCACCTATGTGCACTTGCCTTCTACTTATATTTTCCTTAGCTCTGATACATTTGTGATCTTCTATAAGTTTTATTTTTATTTTATTGTTGACAGTATTACATTTAATTGTGAACTTATTGTAAACACCTTTATATCTATTGAAGAACAAGAAAAACAAAAATATTTTTCCAAATTTGGCAGTTTAAAACATAGAATTCATAAGGGAGACATTTATTGATGTAAATTAAATTTATATTTCATGTAAATTTTATATGATCATGTAAGTTGCAATGCTCACAGTATAATATGAGGTATGACAATAGTGACACTATTAGTGTCAATGATATGACAGAAGTCATCTTTACAATGATGAATTTCATTATCATTCAATGAAATAAATAAAAACGACCATGAAAATGTCTATACCTTATTGGTATTTCTAAGTTATCTATATTGGTTTTTGTATATCTAGTTAAGATATATTCATGAAAACAGCTGACCTGCATCTTGTTAAAAGAATTTTGGGTTTAAGATCATAATTTTGCTGAAACCGGTTTGGCTCAGTGGATAGAGCGTCGGCCTGCGGACTGAAGGGTCGCGGGTTCGATTCCGGTCAAGGGCATGTACCTGGGTTGCGGGCACATCCCCGGTGGGAGATGTGCAGGAGGCAGCTGATCGATGTCTCTCTCTCATAGATGTTTCTAACTCTATCTCTCTCCCTTCCTCTCTGTAAAAAATCAATAAAATATATATTTAAAAAAAGATCATAATTTTATCCAAAACAAAATAAATGACATCTAATTGTATCTCCTTTATGTGCCTAAAAGTGCACTAAAAAATAAACAATCTAACCAAATGGCAAATAACTTCTGCAATGGATGCAGAAGTGTAGAAAGTGATTCAGAATATATACACTGTAGCTTAAGTATTTTGTTGTATAGTTTTGATGGTTCATCTCCAATCTAAAAATATTGCAATGACATATGAAGACATCACTAGTATATTTATTATGTGTTAATATTTTTCTTTTCCTTGAATATACACACATGTGTATAAGCACAGGGTGAGGCAAAAGTAGGTTTACAGTTGTTTATATAAAAATAATACAATAATTAATAAATAATAATACAAGAATAAACTCTGTGTTTTGCATATTTAACAACTGTAGACCTACTTTTGCCCCACCCTGTATTATTCTGAAATTTTCAATTTCAGATCTTGTTACACTTTTTTCAAGTTTACTGATATTATCATTCTGCTAGAACTCATAAAGTAAATGCAAATTCTTTCTTTAAAAACTAATAAAGCAAATTCTCCATCTTTTATGACACTGAATTATGTTATACATCCGTAAAGGAGTCAAATGGGCCTCTAGTCAAACTATAACATTACACTAGATAACAGTAGATTTAACATGATATTTGAAGCCTGTCAGATTTATTCTGGAGAAAAAGGAAGCAACAGATATTCAACCACTTCATTATGGAAATTGGAATTGAGAAGTGACATGCAATGTAGAGTCTTCAAAAATAGATGGAGATATGGAGAAAGTTTACCCAAAGATGATGATGATATTTCATGTCTGAATTAAAATGAGAATTTAAGAATTACTAGCAGATGCACCAAGTTGGAATTTTCCTAGAATATAAGTATGGACAGATATCATTCTATGATGTGACAAAGAGACTCCTCATTTATAATTTCTCAAAGGCGCTCTCAGACCTATATTTTCTCTTTGTTTCCCAAATGAAGGTACAAATTCAGACTCTCTTAGCATCTGCCTCCCTGATGTTTTCTTCGTGTAATGTTGCTGTAGTCCTCAACCTTCCTTGGTGTGAAACCTAAAACCACAAGATACTCGAAAGTCTAGGGCATGACTTTGTAAAAGAGTTTATATATATTAAGTAATCTAATAAAAGATTTATTATGCTTAAAAAAATAATTACTTTTCAGTAATGTCGTATTTTGTGAGTATATGAAGTGAAACTGGACAAACACCAAATCATAAAAGAATTTTATATATTGTATGAACCAATGACTCATCTTTTGCATTTTGGCTGTCATATTTCATTTATCACCATCTCAACTAGCCCCTTTAGAAGAGATTATGCTACTGTTGAACTCACCTTTGGGGATTGGCCTGGGATCTGGCAATAGACTAATGCCAAGAAGTCACATCAATATCATTGATAAACTGATTTTGTAAAATCATTGAAGAGACCGAGGAACTTTGTGCCTGACCTTTACTAAACCAATCTGGTTAGTCTTAAATTCCAACTGGATGCCCTGCTAGTCATGTATTAGGGTGCATGGTTTAACGTTCTACTAGTCCTCATCATCCACTAATATTTTATAATAAGCCTAGTATTATTACTTATTGAAAACATAGACAAATAAATCTTAAAGTAATTCTTAGAAACCCAGGAGGTTCTTGAAAATCAATAGGTTAGAAGTACTATTCAAAATTGTATTAACAAAATTATAGAATATATTCAGTGATGTTCACTCTGCCTATCATGGCTTATTCAAGTATATCCAGTTCTTTGATCACAGATTATTTGTTCAGTTGGCACAAATCTCTCAGACAACAATAACACTGAAGAAGAATGAAACCTGAAAGACCTTAATACATTCCAAAATTTCCACAGGCAATATATACCATTAAAGCTGTATTGAATTTTGGAAACATTTATTGAATCCTTGTTTAAGTTCTGGATCCCAGAAATAATCATATCACCACTTATATTTGTCCAAAACATTACCCTTATTCGCAGTGTTAAAAGGACAAGGTCATTTTCAGATGTGTCAATTGGCTTTAGTGTTCTACAAGAACATTGCAAACCACAGTCTTCTGATTTTTCTCATATATTAAATGATTCTTATTTATATCACTTCCAAACAACTGACCCATAGTCTTCATAAGACAATTCTTCATTATTTACCAATTGAATAATGTAAATACCTGCTTTAATGTAGTATTAATTAACACAAATGATAATGATGATCATGAACTCTTCTAAGAAAAAAATTATTTAATGTAAGAATCTTAATTCCTATGGCATTGTACACAATTAATCATGAAGATAATTGTGAAGGGGTTTTTTTTCTAAGCAAAACAGAGGAGGATTCACCTGTATACAGCTGTGCTGATTTTCCTAGCCGGAACTATGCCTGATCAGAGAAAAATTTACTGCAGAAAGATCTACAGTGAATAAAAGAATAGGTCTGGAATCTAAAAGATATGCATTTGAATATCATCTTTATCATGTACTAGCTGGGTGGCAGTGGACAAGATAGATATCTCACCACTTCTTATATCATTTTTTAAAATTCAGATAGTCACATGTAATTTACATGCTGTTACAGGAAATAAATGAAATTATGCATTTTAAGCATAATCATATCATATTCATATTCATATCACGTCTAACAAATGAAATAGCTCACATCGTGGTGGTTTATTGTAGTCAGTGGCCAATGTTTGCTCTTATTCTATTCTATAGCTAAGGATAAAGACAATCCCAGTACAGTAACTAGGGTATGGTTTTTCCTTTTCTGAAACCATCCTACTTTTTAGGCAGAAAATGACCACTAATGCCTTCTCAGCATTTCTATTAACTTCACCCTATCTATTATAACATGGTCTCCTCCCACATATCAATTAGCATAAACAATGTATTTCTCCAACAACCCAATTAAAGTATCTCTAGTTTGTATTCAGGAGTCAAAAACAAACACAAAAAAACCTTCCACATTATTTAATTCACAACCTTACAGCTCAAAATAAAAGTTCTCTGTGATCTTTTTGAAGAAAATTCCCATGAATATAGCTTTGTGACCAAAAAGGTGTTTGCATCAAATGTATCTAAAGTACACAATGTTAAATTCTGAAATGCCATCAACAACACCATTGTCAAATGCTAGTGCTTAGTGGACATATCAAGTGGAAGTTCCACAATTGTTATGCTTAAGTTATTTATTTTTTTTAAATATATTTTATTGATTTTTTACAGAGAGGAAGGGAGAGAGATAGAGAGTTAGAAACATCGATGAGAGAGAAACATCCATCAGCTGCCTCCTGCACATCCCCCACTGGGGAAGTGCCTGCAACCCAGGTACATGCCCTTGACCGGAATTGAACCCGGGACCCTTCAGTCCGCAGGCCGACGCTCTATCCACTAAGCCAAACCGGTTTCGGCTATGCTTAAGTTATTTAAAGACATGTTATTTTGAGGACCAAGTGGCTTGGGGAACACAGGCAGCAGAATCCACAATCCCCCATGCATGGGAAGACTCTCAATCTCAAAGCATAAAGAATTGTGACTTTTCCTACCCTAAAATACTTCCACACAGTTTCATGGCAGGTGCCATGAATGGAAGAAAGAATAATAAATGCTCAAAAAAATCTTCCAAATACAATAGAGGCGCTTAATGGGTTCATCAGGAGGAGAGCAGCAATGGGTTCAACAGGCAATTAGCAAACTGGTCTTATTAGGAAATAAAGGAAAAATGTCTAAAGCAGCTGAAGACTATGAAGAAAATGAGCTTGAAATCATAGGGGCGTTAAAGACAGAGAAGTAAAATCATGCCCAAAGTCAAGGAGAAACTCCACCCACTATTTCAAAGAAGCACACCATTGATTATAAAGAAACAAAGTGGAAAGAAGGATCTTCTACCATTTGAGACAGCATGGAGGGACCTGGAGAGTATTATACTGAGCAAAATAAGCGAGTCAGAGAAAGACAAGTTTCACATGACCTCACTCATATGTGGAATCTAATGAAC